CCCGGAGGGTCCTTGGGGGGGTCTTGTGGAATCCCGGGCGTCCTGACCCCCCCTCCGTGCTCCCCCAGAACAAGCTGCTCGCGTGAAGAAGCTGCAGGAGCAGGAGAAGCGCCAGAAAGTCGAGTTCAGGAAGAGGGTGAGTTCCCCCCCAGCCTCTGCGGGCACCTGAGTGCCCCCCAATGCCTGGGCCCTCCCCGACCACCCGTGTCCTTCCCAGATGGAGCAGGAGGTGTCCCAATTCATCCAGGCCAGTGGGGAGCCCCGGCGCCGCTTCCAGCCCATGAACAAGATCGAGAGGAGCATCCTGTGAGGGGGCACTGGTGGCACTGAGAGGGCAGTGGGTGGGGCACTGGTGGCACAAGGAGGGCAGTGGGGGGCTGCTTTGGACACTGAAGGGGCAATAGAGTGGGACTTTGTACACGGGGAGAACACTGGGGACACTGAGGGGGTACTGGGGACCCCGGAGACATGGGAGTGGGTGGGCCACTTGGGAGGATACTGGGGACACTGGCGGGATGTGGGGGGCACTGCAGGGCAATACTGGGAATGCTGGTGGACAGTGGCGACGTGGGGGCAGGACAGAAGCAGCCCCGGGTGGCAGCTCCATCCTGGGGCAGTCGGGAACCCTCAAGGGGAAGGAGGGGACAGCTGGGGACATGTCCTGTGTTCTCCAGGCACGACGTGGCCGAGGTGGCCGGGCTGACGTCCTTCTCTTTCGGGGACGACGAGGACAGTCGTTATGTCATGGTGTTCAAAAAGGTGGGGACGGGAAGGAACGGGGGGGACACCTGTCAGTGTCCCCAGGAGTTCTGGGAACAGGGGAGACATGGAGGGAGGTGGGAGAGGGGGGGACACAGGGTGACATCTTAGGTGTCCCCAGGAGTTCTGGGAACAGGGGAGACATGGAGGGAGGCGGGAGAGGGGAGGACACAGGTGTGTGTTCTTAGGTGTCCCCAGGAACACGAGGGGAGGTGGGAGGAGGGGGCACAGGGGGTGACACTGTGGGTGTCCCCAGGAGTTCGCACCGTCGGACGAGGAGCTGGACGCGTATCGGCGGGGGGAGGAGTGGGACCCGGCCCTGGCTGAGGAGCGACGCCGCCTCCGGGTAGGCGGGGCTTAGAGCACACAGGCGGGGCTTAGTGATATGGGGCAGGGCTTAAAAGGGCAGGGGTGAGGCTGGTCTTGGCCGGAGGGGTGTGGTTTGAGCTGACACCGGGGGTGTGGCCTATGTGGGTGTGTTGGGGTTGGGCCCCACCCAGGGCCCCTCCCTTTGCCCTGAGTGGGTGGGGTTTGTTGTAAAAGGGGGTGGGGCCATGGGCA